GTCCCTTCCCTATCTAATGGATTTTATTTCTTTGCTGAGGATCAGTTTTTATTTCTTTGCCAAAGATAGATTCTCAATTCTATGCCATTGGTCTAGGTATCTGTTTGTATCAGTACCAATCAGTTTGATCAATATGACGTGTAGTAGGTTTTGAGATCAGGAAGTGTTGTAAGGCCTTCTACTTTGTTTTCCTTTTTTTGTATTGCCTTGCTTACCCTGGTTCTCTTTCCATTCCATGTAAAGTTTGTGATTGCTTTTCAAATAATGATGATGGAATCTCTATCAGTATGCATTTTATTTGTAGATTTTTAAGCCAATTGCTAATGTCATTGTAATACCTTGTTGAAGATTGCCCTCTCTTTCACTGACTCTCTCCTTTTCTAAGCATATCTTCCACCAGGGATGACTCCTGTTGAGAGTATGCCCAAAGTAGGATTGTCATTCTTCTTTCTAAGGAACACTTCTTCCAAGACAGATTGTTCTCTCGGTGTTCTATTATATATTAAATATTATTTTCCAGTACCACAATTCAAAGACATCAGTTCTTCCATCATCTTTATTCGTTCCCTACCTTCACTTGAATATATAGCTGGAAACCAAGAATTTTGTTACTGAACCAACACTGCCTGTTTTTTTTATTATTATTATTATTATTATTATTATTATTATTTTAATGAAAGTTTACAGAGCCTTTGAATTTCCATTCATTCTTTGTTACACTTCTCTCCCTGCCTACCCCTCCTCCACAGTTCATTCTTCTCTTTGAAAAGTAAAAGAAAAATTCTTTCATTGTTAATACAATCCCTCCCCCCAGGTCCACTCCACTATGCAGCCTTTGTACAGGACTCCTGTCATGACAGTAATACCTAATCACATATCCCTTTTAAACAGTTGTCTCCCTCATCCGTTTCAATGCAGTATACATAATTTATGCCCCATTTTTCTCAGTCTCCCCCCTGACCCCGATGTCAGTCCCATTTTACAACAGTGGTACTATGCAGTATTTGTACTTTTGTGACTGAGATACTTCACTCAGCATAATGTCCTCCAGGGTCACCCATTTTGTATGATATTTCATGAGTTCCTTGTTTTTCAACGCAGCATAGTATTCCATTGTGTGAATATGCCACCGCTTCTTTATGCATTCATTTGTTGATGGGCACTTAGGTTGTTTCCAGCACTTTGCTATTGTGAACAAAGTCACAGTAAACATGGATGTGCATATATCTGTTTGGATGGCGGTTATGGTCTCTTTGGGGGTATATTTCCAGTAGTGGAGTTGCTGTGTTAAATAGTATCTCTATTTACAACTTTTTGAGACAGTGCCATAGAGCCTTCTATAGTGGTTGCACCATTTTACACGCCCACCAACAGTGAATAAGGGTTCTAGTTTCTCCACAACCTCGCCAGCATTTGTTATTTGCTGTTCTGCCAAATTTTGCTATTCTTAGTGGGGAGAGATATCTCATAGTTTTGCACATCTGCCTCTTTTACAGTAAGCAGTCATTGTTATGTACTGTTGAGTTGGAACCAGCTCATTGCTGACCCTCTAGCGGGTTTTCAGAGACAGTAAATTGCACTGGAGGAGATTGCCTGTCTTTGTTCTGTGGAGCAGCTAGTGTTCCTTTGGGTTGGCAGTGCAACTCCTTTACCACTAAGCCACCAGAGCTCCTATGACAAGCAGGAAGTGTAAATATTGTTGCCTTGATTCATACATATCTTTTAATGCATGTTAGTTGCGCAGTACGGAAACTCAAGTAAGCAATTGGTTTTGTTCTTATTTAAACCAAAATTTTTATTTTATACTAGTCCAAAAACGACTGGAATAGCACATCAACAGAGAACTACCAGAAGTCCAGGCTGGTTTTAGAAGGTGTCGTGGTACTAGGGATATTGTAGCTGATGTTAGATGGATCTTAGCTGAAAGCAGGGAATACCAGAGGAATGTCTGTGTTTCATTGACTATGCAAAGACATTTGACTGTGTGGATCATAACAAACTATGGCTGACT